GCTGCTCCACTTTCATATACAGATTTCATGGCTGCATATGTCCCTGTGCAAATAAATATAAAAAAGAAACCCTTTCTTTTGTCAGCTGACAAAAGTACAGGGTGGGCCAAAGGTAGGCATACAGTACCAATTGGGTCATGCTTAGTCTCTTTGGTGCTCAAGATGCCCTCCATCGACATTGCAACATTCCTGGAACCTGTTCCCGACTGTGACACAAATTCTGGTTAGCACCAATGTCGATAAATGCTTGTAAGATGAACACATTCAATATGCCTGCTGTGTAAAGTCCTCCATGACCTGATCAGTACTGTATACCTACATTTGCCCCACCTGTAGTGTTCCCAATAAATGGGGTGGGGTGCACTTTTCCATGTTCCCAAGTACCTAGATGCTAAGGAGAACCCCAAGAACTGTGACATAAAACCCAGAGGATCTTGCTGCGATGAGGCTGATGTAGTTGCCACTCCCTTGAGAATACTACCTGTGCTGAAGACCTGCGAATGAGAGAGAGTAGAAACAGTTCTGCTCAGTGGAGTTCTCAGGGTAGGATTCCAGGTAGGTAAACAGAATTAACAGGAGGGGCCCTAAACAGAGCCCCTCTGTAAAACCATCAAGTTCACGGCTAACTTAATAATTACCTGCACTGCCAGTTCTGTTAGCCTTTTTTCTACATCCTTCTTCTCGTGGTACATAAGGTTTGTCTCACTCCCATAGATATACTTGCCTGAACTATGCACTTATCTTCAGAACTTCCTCCCTCTGCCAAATGAGCAGAGGGCCTTTTTAGTGGTGGTGCCTACATTATGGTCTTTTTGACACTAGTGGAGTCCTTTTTATTTTCCTCAGTCTTTCAGTTTGGTTTTCAATGCGCTATTGGGTTTTTAGTTTTTTTTTTTTATTCTTTTACTCTGGCTTTAAACTTTAAAAAGTTTTGTATTACGTTTTATCATGTTGTATTTTATGTTCTTTAATTTTTGTGAGACATCCAGAAATACTGGTCACTGGCAATATAGAAATGTAATAAACAGATAATAAATAGATACAGTCAGGGAAAACAAAGTGAAATTAATCTTTGTGGTGGATTCCCCTTTCCTTGTAGATTATCTTGTCCTAATGCCATGGATTTGTTAAATACTATTAAGACCACATTTGCATTGTGGCATTTTCCCACAAATAACGGACTCCAAATGATGTCAGCACCTGACCTGTGTCCTTGAAAGGATAAAAGGCAGGACAGAAATCAATCTAATTAATTAATTAAAATGACATCAGACAAGTAGTGGTCTCAATAGCTTCTTTCACCAGCTTCATTCCTTTTGTTCTTCAACGAAATGTTAAGTCTCCCCCTCCCTTAAACTACTGTCTGGAATTCCAGCTCCATATATGAAAGAGGTGCTCTTTGCACATGCTCAGATGCTGAGCCCTGACCTTGGAACCGTGTTCTGGAGTTGTGTCCACAGGTTTAGGGACTGTCTTGATGAGCCCCAGCTTGCTGTGAGCCCTGGTATGAGAATCCCAAATTAAAAAAATAGACTGCTCTGCCTGCATCACTCCATACAGAAATGCATTTATCTCTCAGCAGCTCTGTAAGGATGATGGTCCTCTTGGCAAATCACTGCAAAGGTAAATTAACACTGGCATCTCCTGCTGCCTGTTAATGAGCACGCAAGGCAGCAGGCACTTCATGAAGGAAGAAACAGGACAAGCATAAAGCTCGGGCGCCTGCTTAATATTCAGATCCACTCCTGGCCTGTGTTTGGAAATGCCGGCATCCCATTTTGTTGTCTAAGCTTCTGACTGAAGGACGCATATCTCTGTGGCCTGAAGAACTGTAGAATCTGGAGCACTATGACGAAGCAAAGCAGTGGGGCAGTGGGTGAAGGATGGCACAGCTACCAGCCAGAGTGAAATGCCTGCCAGTTAAGGGCAAGGGAGGGGGTGCAGTCAAACAAGTAGATCCAGTGCTAACCGCAAGCCTGAAAGAAGAGTTTGGCTGGCTGGAGGTGGTACGGGGCAGCAGGGCGGGAAGCGAAAGCTTGGAGCTGAAAATTACAACTGACGCTGCGCTATTAAGAAAGCTTAATATAGCACACTGAAATAGACAAATATGTTTGGAAATGGGGCTACAGGCTGAATATGTGTATCTTAAGCCTGTTTATTCAAGGGAGTTTTTTGCATTTGTATTCCCCCCCCCCATCTTGAATATGATCAGTTTTCAGCAGCGAATTGCCACCAGCTCCAGGAGGGCATGCAAGTGAGTGGGCTTTGGTACGTGCTAGGTACGGAAAATATCGGGGGATCAGGTCCACAAGACAAAAATAGGCACGCATCTGCAAATGTTCTGAAGTCTTGTGTGTCTGCATTTCAAAGATCCTGTGTCCTATTTCTAAAAAAAAATAATCAAAAACCGATGTGCGGACAGAAGGGAACGGCATTTGATTTCAAAACAACTTCAGCAGAAGGATTCAGGGGTGGAGGTGAAGCCCGTGCGAGCAAAAATCCAGCTGATCCAGAGGATCAGAGCTCCTTCGTTTCGACAAGTGCCCCTAGGCAGCAGCTTGGGGGGGCCGCATGGCCTCACAGACATTTGGGGCGCTCGCTAGCCCTAGTAACCCGAACACTAGCACCGCCTCTGCAGGGCGGGAAGGAGATTTGTCCCGCGGATGCTGAAGCCAACCGGCAGAGGGGAGGCGGGGCAAAGGGAGGGTCAGAGCCTTCTTTTGGGGTGGGGTCTCTCGGTGAATTGAGACCATGAGGCAGCGGGTACCCGAGCGAGCGAGTGAGCGAGCGAGAGCGCGGCCACAAAGACCAAGGAGCTGGTCCAGGTGAGTGCTGCCGCTGCTGATGCTACTTTTGCTTTTCTCCGCCCCAGGCCATGTGCTCTCCGGGAGGCTGCTTTGCCTCGGAGGGAATCGCGGAAAACGCGGGAGCGCGTCTGGCCGCCACCTGTTGCGGGAGGACGGGGTGGCGGGAAGTTCTGGGGGCTCGAGATAGACTTCCTGGCCCGCCACGAAGAGCCGCGTTTGCCGTGGCCTCTAGAACTATCGCGGCGGTGATGTGCCCCTCTTTCCGATCCTGTCCCCGCGATCTCCAGCTAGGGATCATGGAGGGTGGCGCTTTGCCTCCGGGTTGGGAATAAAAAACCGCAGCCTCTGAAGACTGCGCGGGAAATTCGAGTTATTTTCGCCGGCCAAATTTTGGCGGGGAACTGGAGACATGAGCGCGGGAAGAGCTGGCGGTGGCCCCGGACGTCCGTGAAAGTGGTTGCTTCTCATAGTACTTGTCACGTTTCACTAGGTGTGGGAGTGCAGTTCTGGATTAAAATCCCCTTATGGGGCTTTCCCGCCCTCCCGTTTTGCCAACGTTTCCTGAAAGTCAGAATAGTATGTGACAGCGCAGTTCTTTCATTTTGAGCCAGCTCAGCCAAAATATCCTCTTAAAAGACATTTGTGACAAGTTGTTCTGCTGAAGGAAACAGGTAGCAAAACTTGACTAGCAGTTTATGATGTGCGGGGATATAAAACGATAGGCAAGCAGGCGTCTCAACAGCATACTGGCAAAACTTCTTTCACGTGGGAAAGTTGAACCATTGCTCTTTCTATTTCAGTATTATCTATATTAGCTTGGACAAGTGCCTGCACTACAAGTGCCATCATCCTCCAGCTGGCAGTATGATGTGGGTCTGTATGTCTGCTCTGTATCAGGTTGGGGAAGGTGGTCTGTATTGATTAGTAGAGGCTGTCTCTAATTTCAGACAGCCTACCTTGAGATACTGGAATTGAACCTAGAGCCTTTGGTATGCAAAGCAGGCACTCTATCACTAAGCTGTATCCTTTCCTCCAAAATTAGAAAAATTAAGAGAGAGATCTCCAACCCACATAAGTGGTGTATCAGGAAAGTGCAATGTCATTTAAAGGCATAGGACGTTTTTTTACTTGGCTGAAGGTAGTTGATATATTTAACACATTTATACCTCCTCTCCAGAAAAACCAGTAAGTTGGAGGAGAAAAGGTTATGGTCAAGGTTGAACTGGGACTGGACAATGGAGAAAAAAGAGGAGTAATAATGTGGTCCCTTGCTGTGGTCTTGAGAAAAATCCCTGAAATGGCTTTTGGCATTGAGAGAAAATTCAGGAGGATTTTAAGCAAAAACTCCCCCTCCCCACCTTTGGGACTGTGAATAATTACCTTCTGGCTCTGCTGTTTGAGCTCAAAGCTCTGGGCAGAAAATACAGTTTTGAAAGCATTTGTTTATTTAAAAAATGTGTATCTCATCTTCTAATGCATTTTCATAACTCAGTTAAAATACCACAATCTGCCCTAAAACAATAGAAAAACAGACTCAGCAGAAATTATAAAAACTGACTCACAAAAAAACTTGCTTACAATCCTGTAAATAGATTCACCATATACAGTGAATATGCTGCCTGTGGGTAGGATATCACTTGTAGTTCATCATCTGTTCATATGCCTGGTGACAGATAAGGGATTTCTCCTCTTTCCCCCTGCACGTTAAGGAATCCTGCAATGGCCAGTAATAGAAGCTTTTAAATTTCAAGGCCAGTGAGGGATTTTTGGTTAGAATCACAGCAGGGGAGGAATGAGACCAGTCCTCTCCCAGATCCCAGTAATTCTCTCTCAATCTTTTGTGTGCGCTCGCGCTCTCTCTCTCTCTCTCTCTCTCTCACACACACACACACACACACACACAATATAACTGTTATTTGCAGTTAAATGTGTAAACACACATTTAATACTTTATAAGGCTAGAACAACTGGTTATTTCACTTTTTTCATGTTTGCTCAAAGTTTGGGCAGCAAATGTGTTGAAAACCACAGTAGTAACCTCAAGGAAGTAGACAAGCAAGGAATGTTTAATAGAGCAGCTCCCTCCACCATACTAGGGTGCTCTTGGTGCATACCATCCATTACTCTGTTTTCACTGAGCTCCTAATGCTTACTTTGGTTCCATGTCATGAGACGCCAAAGTTCCAGTAGAATATTACAAATAATGAGAAAAATGTCATCCCATCAAGTCAGGAAAGGTGCTCTTCTATTTTGAGTTGGGAGACAAATAGTGAATTTGAACCCTGCAATTGTTTGTAGCATTCCTTTTAAACTTGATTTCTCTGAGATGTGCAGAAATATTGCTAGATCTTTCCAGCAGTAACAGAAATGCATTCAGTATAGTGATTAGTAAAGGGCAGCTTTCCCCAACCTGATGCCTTTCAGATTTTCATACTGCAACTTCTATCAGTCTAAGCCAGCATGGCCAAAGAGCTGTGCTGATGGGAGCTGTAGTCTAAAATATGCAGAAGCACCAAGTTGTGGATGGATGCCTTCCAGCAATAGGGGTGCAACCCTCAGCATCCGTATGAAGCTAACTTTTACAGAATCATATCATTGCTTTGTCAGAGTCTATATTGTTTACTTTGATGGGAGCAAGTTTCCAAGTTCTCAGTCTGAGAGAGAGAGACACTGAGGGGGACTTCAGGAATATTGGAACTGGCTTATATTAAGTCAGCCTTTGGTTCATCTAGCCTGGTACTGTTGGTGCTGACCACAGTGGTTCTCCAGAGTTTCAGGCAGGATTTCTTCCTAGTCCTACCTGGAATTGCCAGAGATAGAATCTGGGGCCTTGTGCACATAAAGTATGTGCTGTAGCTCAGTGGCGGAGTCCCTCCCTCCATCTCTCCTGCTCCAGCTACCTAAGAGCCTTTTAAACTGGAGATATCAGCTGGACATTGAATTTGGAACCTATTCTCTGCTGGTGGTCAATAAATCTTGTTTGTTCTGCTGAGTAATATGCAAGAACTAAGTCCATGTCCAAGGTAGAAGAATGTGAGACTCCTTAACTCATTGGCAGATGTCCCATTTTAGAAGTAGGGGGAATTTGGAAGTGATTTGCAGTAGTGGGGGAAAACGGAATGTATATATTGTTCTATAGCAAAAGCAACCGAAAGGGATGATCAGGAACTGTGGAGCTCTGCATTTTGCTCATTAGGTCCTTTTCATGTATTGTTGAAGAAAGCTGGGATATAACTGAAATGGAGTAGAAGAAGATGTGTTTTAAGTAATGCATCCACTTCTACCTAGAATGTTGTGGCATCTTAGAGCACTATCATATACGTGTTTAGACCAAAACTGTCCTGAATTTCCCAACACTCCTTCAGCCAGCCATGCTGCTTGGGTGATGCCAGGAGCTGCAGGACTCTTTTTCTATCTAAACATGTATAAGATTGAGCCCTAAGGTTTTCTTTCGTCCAGTCAGATCCACAGTACCTGGACCGTGTGCATTCAGTGAGTTCCATGGCTAAGTAGAAATTCAGTTCAGGCTGCCACAGTTGTAACCCTACTCCTAATTCATCCATTGCAGCACACTGACTCTTCCTTGCTTTCCACTCCACCAAAAAACCCAAAATAAAATCAACCTCCCCATCAAACCCCACCCCCAAACCATGGCTGCCCAGCGAATGCTTATGTAGCATAGCCAAGATGGAAGAAAGTGTGGCTGTCTCACACATTTGGTATAGAATTGCAGAGGGGGTGTGTTTGTTTTTGCTGTTACCTGCTGATTTTTTAAAGCAATACCCATTTTTTCAGATATAGATAGTTCTTGGACATAGGCTAAAACTGGGATCTTTTGTCCACCTGTCTTTTAGGAAATCACTATGCCAGCCGCTGAAGTGGAGCAGTGAGAAGTTGCTGCCATTGCTGCACTACTGTTACCTCCTATTTGTCATTTGCCTTGTAGGACTTTCCTACCAAGGTGTCAAATGGGCAACACCAGCTCCTCTGAAAGCAGGAAGCAAAGAAGGTGTGGGGGTGGAAGGTGGAGAAAGAACAAGATGTAATGTAGAGGTTGGGTTTAATAACTGGTGAGTCATAGGGCTCCTGGAACAACTATTTCAATGTAGTTGCTTCTCATAGACTTCAAATGTAAGTTAAGTTGACCAATCCCCTTGAAATCACTGGAGAGGATCCTGGTGATCAGAATACAAATAAGGGCCATGGATTTCATAGAGGGAGGTTGTCACCTCCCTCTCTGCATTCATAGTGCAACACTGATGCCAGGGAAAATCACAGGAGCCTGCATTTGATGTGTAGGTTTCTACTGAGCAGAACTCCATTCTTACCAAGAAAGCTTAGGCTATGCCCACACCCTATATTCCACACCATGGAGCAAACCATCAACACTTTGCCACAAAAGCCCTATAATAAGAAAGGCTCTTGTGTTTCAAGCACTCTATTAATCACACCTAATCAGCCCTTAGCATCACACCTAGAACCCAAGGAACCAGAAGTTTCAGGGAGGTGTCTTTTTCGAAGGATAAATAAAGCAGGACACCCTTGCCTTCCCAACCTTTTCTCTGGTTTCAGATTCATCGGTGAGAGAGCTGGACTGTATTTTTAGATACAATAAAGAGAGAAAGCAATCTTTTTCATGGTCTTCATAAACCCTATACACAGACTCTGCTCCCACATTGAGCTTCTGTTCAGGAAACATCTATAGCTGAGGGATTTAGGCAGGAACTCCTCCCTTGTCATTCCAATGCACATATCCTTAATGGCTTTCCACCTGTTCTTTTAGTTTTTCTTCTGTTGTTTTGGTTGCCTTTGTGAGAGAACTTCTCCAGTCTCTTTCTGGCTGAATTACCCTGTATTCATGTTATTTTACTTAGTTTTTCCTTTCTCCCCTGTTACATCTTTTTTCCTGTTAAAAAAATAATTATTTCATTTCCCGTGAACTTCCAGTCCCCCGACTGCCATCAGGTACATTGCCTTAAAGCCCTGGTCTGCAAGTATAGAAGCATGCTCACACCCGCATGCTCACAGTTCTGCTTCAGAGAAGCACACATCATTGTCTCATGGCCCATTGACAAGCCTTTACCACACAGGCTGGCAGAAATAAACTGCTTGCCAAGATTTCCAAAAATTCCAGAACTTTGAGATTGGATCCTTACAAATAGGGTAAGAAAAAGGAGGACTCTCAGTCCCATGAGCCTATGGGCAAACCTCAGCTTTCCATACCACCTCCAGTGTTACATTTGCTTATCTCAGTTGGTGCAGGTGCAAAGGTTGGTACTGATTTCCTCAGTGCCTGAGGGAGAAATTAGGGGGGTGTCCTCAGTCCAAACTGAGAGGGTTCCTCTCTGCTTCAACAGACTCCCTCAGAATCAAGACTGCAGAAATGATCCCCTGGATTTGAGAGTTGTGGGTCACCGCATTGTGCATAGAAGTGTCTGGATCTGCCCCCAGCTACAGGGAAAAAGCTTGTTCTCCTCTATCTGATGGGGACCAACTTTTACAATGGTCTTTATCACACTACTGAGATTGGAGAATATGAAGGGACTGAGATTCATATGATGAACCAAAGGGTTACTTGGGGAGTGACTTGCCTCAAGAGGAAAGTCACTACCCATAGCTCACCATTAATGGCAAGGGGTCAACTACTGAGAGATGACCATGTGTTCCTACCCCTCCTCCAGAACCATACTTGTCCCTCAGAAGCCAACTTCACCTCAAGCTTAAGTTCCAGCTGTAGAGTAACAGCTGGACCATAAATCTCCCTTGACATGAAGATCGCTTTCAATGCCATCACCACAAGGGAGTGTCTCAGCAGCATGCCCCCTCCACATTCCTTAAATGAGGACTAACACTTTGACTCAGAGTCTTCTACTTCAGTGGCAGTGAGCCTTCAAGATCCATTGTCCCTTCTAAAGATCTTGGTCCCTTTTGGGACCCAGTTCTGCTTATGGCTTAGTCCCTTAGACTGGAAACACAACACCTAGTAGAACTCCCCTACCAGCCTGCCCGTGTTTTATGATTAGCCTCAGAGGCCATTCTTGTTCATTCACCTGTGAGATCAATTGGTTGGCAGGCACAAGAGACTGTGAAATCCCCTCTCAATAGAGACAAGTGTGGCCCCATCTTTACAAGCCTTATTTGTCTCAGACTGCTTTTTCTAAATGAATTTTATGAGCTTTCTGACTTTTACTTATATATGAATGGTCTCTAAATGGTCTACCAGTGTCTAATTTTTAATGGTTTTGTGGCTTAGCTGTTTTGAAATATTATGCTGGTTAACATTTTATTTATTTTTATTTATTTATTTTATTTATTAAAACATTTTTATGCCGCCCCATTCGCCGAAGCCTCGGGGCGGCTTACAACATTTGAATGGTCATTTATTTTTATGCTGCTTCTCAGCCAAAAGTCTCCCACATCAATTTATGCATAATCCATAAAACAAGAGAGTACCTGTCTGCAGGCTAGCAGTCAAGATCTGTGTTTAACAGATACGTTGGTTTAGTTTTAGGACACTTCTTTCCAAGGCTATAATAATCTGACCATTCTTCAAACCACTTCATCTTGTTCCAAGTCTGGAACCAGAAGATATACATTGGAGGTGTCAGAAACACCTTCTTTTTCTTTCTTTTTATTGTTTTTGTGCTATCCACCCAAGCCATCTTTCCAGGGCAATTATATGAAAATTTCTTTGGAAACAGACTCCAGTGGCTTTTCATTTCCTGGTAAATGTCTATAATTGCTTTGTTGATGTTTATCGGCTGGCCACAACTCACAATCTGGAGAAGAAATAAATAGTGTATGTCAGATTGTTTTTCTCTGAGTGTGGAACAAGTTGCCATATCTTGCTTTGGGAAGACCCCATTTGTGGGGTGGAACTGGTTTCAAATAAAGGTTGTTAGGGCAAGAAGCCAGACTATATATGCTCATGGAAAATGCCAGGGCACTTTGTGCCCATACTTAAATCTTAACCAGTCCGCAGTTTCATCTTGTTTAGATTAAAAGATATTTCTGTTGCTCCCTGCTGTTGCGCTGGAAACAGCATTGTACATTGCAGGCTGTTTGTTGGTCATTTCTTCCCCACTGTTTAAAGAGCAGTGGTGCTGCCTGTTGAAAGCAACGGCAAATGCAAGAACAACTATGTGCTTAGCTGGCAATGTGTGTCTGAGTAAACCATTCCAGCTTTTCTGGCACCGTAGCTCAGGGGTGGGCAATTAATTTTCCTATGGGGCCACATGAGAAACTTTGACAGTTGTTAAGGGCCGGACCAATACACTTACAGCTCTGCTCAGTATATATCTCTATAAAAACAGTAAATGAAACATTACAATGATACAATGAAAATGTGGAGCACAGAACAACACTATTTAATGAATATTCACAAAAACATAAACATTAACATTACATGAAAAGCAATAAATTCAATTTAGCAGATCCTTCAAAATAAAAGCAGTGCAGTTGTATTGCTTGCATCTATATTACGATGATATATATTTGCATTGACTTAATTTGCCAGTGACCTCATGCGGGCCAGTCAGGGTCAGCCATCGGGCCGGATGTGGCCCGCGGGCTATACAATGCCCAGGTCTGCCGTAGCTGATAGTCTCACAGGCTCTCAACTATCATGCAGCTATACCTGGAGGAGGAGAACAGGCGGTTGGCCAGCTCCATCTTCTTCCCATCCTAGTACTTAACTGAAAGTGCCTTAAAAAGTAGTGCTTTATGTGGAATCTGGTTAAATGGAAGCCATGTAGCTGCAAGAGAGAACTGGAAAGGGTTCAGTTATTAGGAATTGCAATATGGATTCCTTAGGTAGGTTTCATTGGTTCTATGAATATATTTTATATATGCTACACATTGAAGGTATGTCTGCAGTATAACTGCACACTAGCCTCTCTCTGTATTGACCTGGTTCATAAAATGCAAGAACCCGTTGTGTCAGATGGGCTAACCGCAGCAGATTGTTGTGTTGTCCAACTCAGATTGCTTCTCACACAGTGGCTTGATGTTGAGTAACAAAGCACACTGACAACCCATGACTTCCTAGGGGATTTTCCTCAGGGTGGCTTAGCATGGCATGCAAATGTGGCCCCTGTGTTGTCTTTGCTGCCCACCAGCCCCCAAAGAGGCGTGGGCTTGGAAGGATTCTTTAATCCAGAAGTCTCTGTTGCTTTACAAAAATGTGTAATTAAGAGTTCCTTTGGGAAGAAAAGCTGAAGCAATTTGCAATCAGTTTAAGGAAGCATAAGCTGCAATATATAATTATCGTTTTTCAGGGTTCTAGCGATGGCTTCCTCCAAGATAACCTGCTATGAGAACATGTCCTTCAGATGTTTTGGACTGCAGATCACAGCATTCTTGCCCATTGGCAAGACTGGCTTGGGCTGAGAAGAGGAGAATTTGAAAGCAGCATTGTGGAACACTGTGCTGGGGCTCAGATAGCCCTTTCACATACACCTCTCCCAGGTTTCCATGTATTTTTCCCAGTTACAATGTCAACATGCTGTGACTTCTACAGGTCACTTTGCATGTACTTCAGTCAGCATTGGGCAGCTTGGGAGGAATTTTGTTGCCTTGAGTAAAACTTCTAAACATTTTTGGTATTGCTGCATACTTCACGGTCTTAAAGGGAACAAGTGAGACCTGCAGCAGTGTTGCAGTGCAGTCATACCACCTAGCAGAAGTACATTCATAGCTCTCTCTGGTAAGCCAGCCAGTTCCTCCTTTACAATACTGTTCCATTCTCTCCTCTGTCAGTTTCTTTTCCAACATGCTGAATGTGCTCAGTGCTCTGGGCATTGTTGTATATTTCCACCTAGGGTTTACCTGGGCAGGTTGATACCAAACTCTTGGCTTTTCAGTGGTTTGGGGACTTTCAGCACTCAACCATCTGAGTTCATGAGTAGATAAATCTTTCCCAACCTGGTGTTCTCCAGAGTGCAACTCTCAGAATTCCTGACCATTGGCCATATTGCAAATTATGGTATGTGTATTGTTTGCCTCTCCCACAGCTACAACTACTTGAAAAGTAAACAAGGACAGTTAATTTAGTAGAGCAACCTTGACACTG